CTACTTTCGCCGATCGTGAAATGGCCCGGGTCGATTTTTATGCAGATCATGAGACCTACAGAAATGTAATAAACTACTGTAATTGTATCATGTAATTTATTAATAATTTACATATTTTATCAATGACGATAATAATAATTATTAATAATTACATTAATATTTTATATTTACATTGATATTTATAAAAACAATTCTTTTAGTGTCATATGGATATTTTTTTTTTATTCATTATATTCGAATCGAATTTTACCGCTTTAATTACATATTTTCTTCAATCTTTATGGATTCGCAAGTATATAACTTTATAACCCGTGAAACCTTTAACCGAATATTAGAGACATTCATTAACAAAAGAAAAAACAATCGAAGCTTGATTGATAGGAGTCATTATAATGAATGTTGTAATGTAATAAAAAATCCAGATTTTAATATTTTTAAAACTCATCGTATTGGTGCAATAGAGGAACTGCGTCTACTTAAACAAGATAAAAATAACTTGAGGACACAAGTTTATTATATCAAAATTTTTTACGAAAAAGCTGAAAGAGGGTAAATTTGTTTATTTTTTTAAAAATAAAATAATAATAATAATAGTAACGTTCTTATTAAATTCAGGTTAGATACTGCTATATTCCCCGGCAGTTAGTTGAGAATGTGATTAATGAATGCAAAGCGTGCGTTACTCGACGTATTTTAAGAGTTCCATCAATGCCCTATTGATTAACTTTAATAAAAAAATTTATGTAGTCAAACAAAATTTAAATTGCATCGGTTCAATACTATCAGCTCTTTTAAATTTTAAATGAAACTGTGAAATTATTAAAAACTAAATGGAAGCAAAACGAAATCAAACATACGAACCTGACGATTTAGTAAAAATTTGCACTCCCGCCAATGATAAGGCCAGACCAATTTGATTTGGTGGCTTACATTACCCCCTCTCAGTAAAAAAAATTTCGGGGATATACATATTTGATTTTGGTCAGAGAGCTAATGCCGGGCGGAATTAAGATTAGAAATTGTAAGGATCCGAAGAGAAAATGAACGAACATACAAGACGAGCAAGGTCAGGCCGATAATTTCGATTGAAAAAAAAATTTAATAAAATTTACTATATATACGTTCCATTTTTCTTCCTTCCCCCTCTTTTGAAAAAGGAATGTAATGTAAACCACTAAATCAAGTTGTTCCCGCCTTAACAATAAAACACCTTTGGCATAAAGCAATACAGGGGAGGAGGCCTACCGAATATGATATACATCACCAGAAATCTTAAATAATTTTTTTAAAACTGCTTCTGATCACTTGCGTATTTATTGACTTGCTAGCATGCATTATTCGCTTTTTCATCAATGTAATTTATACTGTAATATTAATGATACAAAAAACTATGTATTAAGGTTAAATCGATTTTATACCCTGGTCACTATATCAAGATCGCAGGGTATAAATCAGTTATATCCTGGACACTATGTGTATAAGCGGAAATTTCATTTTCGCTTATACCCAACTGCCCAGGATATAACTATTACTTCTAAAATATCGCAACTCACTAGTTGAAAGTTTTTTGTTACCCAGAATCAAAATTATTTATATAAGATTTGAAGTTTAATTTCAAATATAATATTTAATAATTGTCGGGATGGTGCTGAATCGGATGGTGCTGAATCGGATGATGCTGAAATTTTGACTTATTTTATTATAAAGATTTAAAAAATTTTTGGAATGTTTTGCTTAGCTTTTTTTTATAGTTCGATTATAACTTAGAGTTAGTGTTTATAATAAAGAGCATAGGGGATTTTAGTAGGATTTATATTTTCAAATTAAGACCTCAAATTTCAGCATCATCCCGACAATAATTATTCAGTATATAGAACTCACATATACATATATTCATTAGTTAATCATTTTAAAACGATTAAAAGTCTATATGATTCATATTTTGAATCTTTTTCGATTAAGACCCATTTTCATGAATAACAAGAATAAAAAGTCATCGCTTAAAATCTTTTTTTTATTTGTGAAAAAAAAAAATTTGCAAAGAAACATAAATGAAATAAATAAATAAATAAAATAAATTTATAACAATTTAACAATAAATTTCAATTACATATGTTGTAAGTGAAAACGGGATTTAAGTAGATTTGGACTTTGAAATACTAATTTAACTAGATCTCGTTCCCACTTGCAGCATATATATCCATAAATAATAATAAAATAAAATAAGTAAAATGAAATAGATAAAAATAAAATAAAGGTATGAACTGATTAAAATTTAGTATATTTTAAATAGTAATCTTTAGTTACTACAATAAATATATAAATAAAGGTCATGAAAGAGAACCGTCTTCGTTTACAAGTGAGCCAATAATAATATAGTTATCATTTATGAATTTCGTCAAATTAATGAAGTAAACAATAAATTATACAATCTATAAAGTCCCATATAGCTCCAAACCAGAATGACAAATAGTGACTAATAGTCGGAGCTTGTCCCAATTCATCACTTTCACATTGAATATACATAAACGTATTTCCAATAGCTACAGCACTTGAAATAATGAACCACCAACCTCCCATAGCAGTTACTAAGCATGAACGTTCTGGATAATAATCTTTTAGATTCCTTTTTTCATCGCTAAAAATAAATGCACATAAAAAAATAGCAGCAAATTTTCAAACAAAAGCAGCATATTCAATCCAAACCACGCACATGCAGGTAATGGACATGGATGCGTCACACATTTCAAGTAGCATGGCTTTATGCATCTACAGCATCCACAGCCATTCTCACAGCAATTACATTTGAAACAGCAATCAAGGCAATGAAAGCAACAACAATCGCTACCACTACTATATCGACAAGGATCGGTACCACAACTTCCACAACAACAAAGAAACCACTAGAAACAACTACAGCAACCGCATCCACCTTCAATACAACAACTTATCGGTGTAACACAAATTAATACTGATGATAAAGAACACAAAATTAGTGAAACCATGTATGTATAAACCCTCCAGCTGAATTACCACCATGTATTGCAAATATTAAAGGAAGCGTTGCCATTACAAGATAAAAATCTAACGTCTGTCGATGACTAAAATCAAGAAATACTAATACGATATCTATAATAATTATAGCAGAATGAAGTGCATACTTCAAAATTAAGCTTTTTTTAGAACCCCTTCTTAACCATACACGTATGGTACTAATGATTAACATAACAGTCGTTGCCCAAATTCCTAGTACCTGTAGTATATTTATAGGTCTGTAGCTACACATAACTTCACGCCATTGTGTTCGTGGGGCATCATATTCTATATCTCTCTTTTCAATTTCTGCTATATTGTATTGCATATCATCCTCGATTCTTGACGTTATATACATGTTTTTGCTTATGTATTTTTATATATTTATTTTACAGTATATTGTTTATATATGTCTTTAATACTTCTTTTAGTACTGTACAGATTCTATTTATTTTCATTATAGCTATTAATTTATATTATATTCTTCGGAGTTAATAATATGTTTTCCGAAATTTTATCAGATCAATCTTTCCTTTTATACTTCTTGATACAGTCAAGTTTCCCTAAATGCACATTGCAGGATCAGCTCTAGAGTGTGCATTTAGAGAGGGTTGCAATTAACCCTATAAAAAAAGTTTGTTCAGTTATTGTAGGCATTGTCCAAAAAAATGTTCAGAACGGAGTCGATTTTCCGAATGCAAGTACGATATTGTATGTTATGTAAAAAAAGAAATTTTTTGGGTTGACAACATTAGGTATAAGCATTGTACAAAATCAGTAAAATATACGGTGTTACAACAAAGGAGAGGATTTCCTATTGCAATGTCAATTTAACTACAGGTCGTAAGCATTAAAGATAGGGAACCAATGATTTATTACTATATACAAGACAATAAAAAGTACTAATTGTAACTGATACAAGTAAGTATCTTCCCAAAAAGTGTACCCAGTACACAAAGAATCCTCTAAAATACTAATTAACCTATGCTCTTTTCCAATTGAGCAAAAGAAGAACCTTTCTCTATTTACAAAGAATATCTCTATTTTATATACAT